CTTAATATGATGCAAAAATGAAATAGACCAAAGGTGTCACTTCATGCCATCAGTGTGCCAATGCATTTGTTTTTAAAAATGAGCAATATAGTTTCCAGCCTGCCTGCCATGCACAAAGCCCTGCCTTTAATCCTTAGTACCACATAACCTGGGCATGGTGGCACATGCCTAGAATGCCAGCACTTGGGAGGTGGAGGCAGGAAGATTAGAAATTCAAGGTCATCCTCAGCTACATAACAAGTTGAAGCCAGCCTGAGATATAGGAGACCATGTCTCAAAGAAAAAAAAAGCACAAAAAATACATATATGCTAGGCACTAGGCTTGGTGGTGCACACCTTTAATCCCAGCACTTGGGAGGCAGAGGCAGGTGGATCTCTGTGAGTTCCAGGCCAGCTGGGGCTACAGGGAGACCCTATCTCAAAAAGACAAAAACAAAACAAAAACATACGTTTATATTTTTAGAACCTAGAACAGTGTATGCTGGACAGATGAATGCTGTCCCCATGTGTATTGGATAGCTGTGGTCCTTAAAGAGGAAACCCAGAAGCCATCAAGAGAAAGGTACACGTACTTGACTGTGTGCACATTAATTTGGGGGATAGGGTAGAAAAAGATGTTTTTGATCAAAGTTGAGCAGGTGAAATGGCTTAGCGGATAAAGATACCTGCCACCAAGCCTGAGGACCTGAGTTCAATCCCTGGAACCCATGGTGGAGAGAGAGAACACTAATTCCTGTAAGTTGTCCTCTGAACACACAGGCACACTGATGTGCATGCAGCACACACACACACACACACACACACACACACACTTGAAGCAGGAGAATCACTGCAAGTTTGAGGCCAGCCCAGATGTCATAGTGAGACCCTGCCTCAAAACAAAACATAGGGCTGATGAGATGTTTCAGCAGGTAAAGTTGCTGTTTACTAAGCCCAAGGATCAGAGTTCAATCCCAGGAACCCACAGAGTGGAAGGAGAGAAATGATGCCTTTAAGTTGTCCTCTCATCTCCACAGGCATACACACATACATATGCACACAAAATAAGTATCTAAATGCTTAAAAAAAATTTTTTTTTGGTCTTTTTGAGACAGGGTCTCCCTGTAGCCCTGGCTGACCTGGAACTCACTATGTAGACCAGGCTGGCCTTGAACTCACAGAGATCTGCCTGCCTCTGCCTCCCAAGTGCTGGGATTAAAGGCGAGCGCCACCATGCCCAGCCCTAAAAAATATTTTATTTATTATTTTTATTTTATGTGTAGGAGTGTATTGCCTGCATGTATGTGAGTACACCCGTGTCATGCAATGCCACGGAGGTTGGAAGTGGGCTTCAGATTCCCCTGGAACTGGAGTTAAGGACAGTTCGTAGCTGCTATGTGGGTGTTGGGAATCGAACCTGGGTCCTCTGCAAGAGCAGTAAGTGCTCTTAACCGCTAAGCATGACATTTGGGGGACAAGCTAAGGAAGTGTGGATATGGATTATGTTTGGAGGCTACTGGGCAGCAGGAGGCTTCTTGCTGAGGTCAAGGTGGAGAATTCCTTTAAAAGACATCTGATGGTGCTGGCTTCAGCAGCACATATACTAAAATTGGATCAATACAGAGAGTACATGGCCCCTGTGCAAGGATGACATGCATATTTTAAAAAATAAGCCAGGTGTGGTAGTGCACGCCTTTAATCCCAGCACTGGGGAGGCAGAGGCAGGTGGATCTCTGTGAGTTCAAGGCCAGCCTGGTCTACATAGTGAGTTCCAGGTCAGCTGGGGCTACAGGGAGACGCTGTCTCACATATATATGAATAAAAGATATCTGATGGAGGCTAGAGAGATGGCTCAGTGGTTAAGAGCACTGGCTGCTCTTACAGAGGACCCAGGTTTGGTTCCCAGCATCCACATTGCAGCTAACAACCGTCTTTAACTCCAGTTCTAGGGGATCAGATGCCCTCTCTTGACCTCCACAGGCATTGCATATGTGGATGATGCACTTACATACATGCAGGTAAAACTCTCATACACATCAAATAAAAATAATAAAGTATTTTTAAAGGAAGGGGAAGCCAGGCATGGTGGCACACACCTTTAATCCCAGCACTCAGGAGGCAGAGGATCTCTGAGAGATTGAGGCCAGCAGTCTGGTCCATATAGCAAGTTCCAGACCAGCTGGGGCTACAGAGAAACCCTATCTCAAAAATAAAATAAACTAAGATTAAGTTAAATTAAATTACAATTTTAAAAGAAAGGGGGCTGGACTCAGTGGTTAAGAGTACATATTGCTCTAGCAGAGGACCCGAGTTCAATTCCCAGTATCTATGTTGGGCAGCTGGCAACCACCTTTAACTCCAGCTCCACGGTTTCGGACACCTCTGGCTTCCAGACACCAGCACTCACAATAATTATTGTTGAAACTTACTACCCATCTCTAGCAAGACCCACGTCCCTTTCTGGCTGCATTTTTCCTAATTCTCATTCCCAGAAGACTCTTTTACTCATTTACTTTGTGAACTTGCATCTCCTTTTACTGACCTATAAGCTAGTGCTTGGCACCAGCCGGCGCTCAGCAAATATTTGTTGACTCTGTAATCTGTGTCAAGCACTGTGTCTGGCACTCAAGAGCTGCTGGGTAAAGGCAGCAATGAGGGTGATGATGTCATTGATGAAGGTCAAGTTCGATGTGGGCCATGTAACAGCTGGGTTCCATACAGGGCCAACACATCCCTGTTGTGCAGATGGGGAAACAGGGAGACTCTGGGGAACTGGTACCTGTGGCTCATCTGAGATAGACCTCCCCAAAAACCTCCTATGGTTGCCGAGGACTGTCAAGGAGCCACAGATGTTCACTGGGGCAGCCCTTGGAGGGACAAGAGCTTCTTAACAAATGTAGGAGAGTGAGCCCTGGTTTCCGGAAGTATGGGCAGTTTCAAGGTGCTTCCTGTGAGCTAGCCGATAAGGAGTGGAGGCTTTCAGATAACCGTCCCAGCAGCACAGAGCCTCGGGGAGCCCCACACTGGGGGAGAACCAAAGTGAGAAGTGTCATACCAGGTCACCAGCCCTATAGGCTCTTATGGCCAAAGGAGTCAGAATCCTGAAATAAGCTCCCTGCACCACATCCTGAAATTCGGGGTGCTCTTGTCACTGTCCTGGAATTTCTAACCACACTGCTCTCTGCAATCTGTTGCCAGCTGTCCCCCGGCATTTCATAAGAAAGTAGAACCTCAGGTCAACTCACCCAGTTCCACCCAGAGGGGACTTCAGTCCAGAGGCTCAGGGAAGGAAGTCAGCCTGTGCCCTGCAGTCAGTGCCACCTCTTAGTCGGTCAGAATGCTGTTTACCATCAGTCAGGATGGTGCACTCTGCCCTCCCGTTCCCATCAGTCACTGCCCCCTCACTGTATCCTAAATCAGTCGGTGCCCCCATTGGCCAAGGCGTGACCACTGAGAGACCCTGGGGACATCTTTCAATGAACCTATGAATGCTTGTGCACACGCATGTGTACACACGTGCATACGAGCACGCACACACTTCTTCCCCAGCTGTTACCTGTCTCTCTCAGTCAGTTCTCAGACAACACCCCTCACGTCACTTATCAAGTGCACAGGTCCCCTCTGTAGTCACTCAGAACCCCAGTCCTCAGAGTCCCTCTCTCCATCAGTCTCCCACATAGTCAGAGCAAAACACAGACAGCCCCTCAGCACCCAGAGAGCACCTCTCTCCCCTACATTCAACCTCACAGCTTGAAGTCAGCAAGCCCCGGCCCTAGCCATCTTCCAGGGTAGGACCCTGGCCCCAATATGGGGTTGCCATGGGAGTCCCACTGGCAGAGCAAGACTCAGAGGGAAGTGGAAAGGAAGGAGGTTGTAAGGTGCATGGGCCACAGCAGGACAACAGTCTGACATCTTCAAGTACCTTAGGGCCTCCTGTGACGGAGGGCTTAGAAACTTCATCAACTCAGCATGCCACTTAACCTCAATAAAGACCAACCACAGCCATGATCACTGGGCCTGAGAACCACCTAGAGGATTGTTCTATCTGCTTTCTTCCCTCCTTCCCTCATTAACTGAAAGAACTGAGGCTCCAAGAAGTCAGCCGACCTGCCCAGTGTCACAGGACCACCAATCTACTGATTATAAAGGATAGCGCACACAGACTTGCCTTCTTGCTCTCTGTTAGACAGTGAAGAGAGTGTCAAAGCTCAGCTTTGAGCCCCTGTCATAGAAGCCAGAGACTCCTGTAATCCCAGCAATGGGGAGGTGGAGGCCAGGGACTCTGAAGTTCAGGGTCTTCTTTGGCTACATGGTGAATTCGAGGCTAGCCTGGGCTACATGAAATTCTATCACAAAAAAAAAAAGTGAAAGAAAGAGAAAAGAAAAAGGATGGTACCCATGCCACCCCCTCCATCCTCGCCCCTCCAAAGCAGCAGCATTGCGTTATGGGGTGGCTCCCACCTCTCAGAGGCTCCCGGTTACAGCCCTGTGTTCCTGGACCCGTTGAAGAGGTGACTGTCCACTACCCACAGAGTGCAGATCTCTGCAACTGTTAACAGTCCTGGCTCTTGCTCAATTTCCGTTTCCGTTCCCTAGCTAGCCAATCTCCTGAGCTCATCTGGGGAGCTTCCTGTAGAACTGATCCCTTCACTGTCCTCTGCCTGACAACCCAGGTTCCCCACCCTGCAGTGTGAGAACTGGAGAAGAAAGCTGGGGCTGGGAGGGGGTTTCTCTGACTTAAGGCTACAGAGGGTGAATCTGTGGTGACAAGGCCAAAATTGGGCCTCCGCTTCCTGATAGAATGTTCTTGGTCCAGGCAGAGGGTGAAGGGACTCAGCTAGTGCATGGACAGCTACAGGAGACGACACACCTCCTCACCTCAGACCTTCACTCAAGGCCAGCCTGGTCTACATGGTAGACTACATAGCGAGAACCAGAACCTGTTGCAAAACAAAACAAAAATCTGAATTAAAGAGTGTATTCTACATAATCTTAAATTTTCTATGATCATAGTTTAGTCAACTAGTTTAAGGGACAAAATATATATCTAGTCAAGGTTTATCTGAGACTATTTGGTTTTTTTACCCAAGCCTTATCTACATAGCATATGATAATTAAAAGTACCAGACTGGTGGAACTAACCTTATTGGATGTTTAACAGCCATAGTTTGAGGCCTATACTAATGTGGTCAGAGGGACTTACAGGACAGTTTTTGCCCCTTGCCCTCCAAGGTCGACTAAGTTCCAGGGAGCTATGGAACATCTCTCAAAATGTCCTGTAACTATGGTGAGTCACCTGTCCTCTTGTTCAGGGAGGACATGAAAACCACAAGATGGACCTGAACCAGTGTCCAGTCTACAAAGAGGAGGGTCAACTCAGAGGAAACATCTCATCCATGCTTCCAAGTGAAGCCAGACATGGTCAAGCAGGACCTTTGACTTATCTTCACATAGATGGAACTGGTAAAAGAAAGGAGCCAGGAACTCTTCCCAAGCTCCTCACAGCTCCTCTGTGACCCCTCAAAAGGCCTTAAGTGTAAAAATAAATTGACTTATTTGGGCCAACCGTATGGTCTTAAACACCCAAAAGGAGAGTACAACCAGAGTGAAGTCATCAGCATATTTAAGAGTTCAAGGGATTACACTTCCCAGACTTTAGGCTTAAGTTTATATAAAATGTTATATAGACAATTATTTTTCATTGATGATTTTGTTCCTAACCAGAAAGTGCTGCTCAGAGGTAAGACTTCAAATCTTGGTCTCCAATACTGTAGTGCCCACCTGTAGCTAAGGGAGACAACAAGCTATTGTTCTAAAATGATGGATAAATTTTCCTCCCCCTACCTAGAAGCCTTTGAGAGGGAACTGACCCTGATTCTAACCACTCCAACAGCTATCAAAATACCTGAAAGCAAATCCTGAATCCATCACTTTAGACTCCAGCCTTGGAAGACAAAAGAGAAATGAGGAAGAACCCAAAAGAGGAATGCTTTTGGAAGCCCTTGTCAAGAAATTCCAACGGACTCTCATATGAGCATTTGAAAATTGCCCTGTTCTGACTTTTTTCTAGT